ATCAGTTGTAGTATTAATGATGGACATCTGTACTGTACTGTACATCAGATGTACCATTAATAATGGTGACAGCTACATTTATTTCAAATTGAAGGGTAAAGCTCATATCTCCTTAATATTGATCTAATTGATCTGAAATTCATTATGAGCAAATAAACCTTAGCTTAAAGTGCCACTTTGTTCAATGTTCTTATGAATGCAGCAGATGAGTGCAACAGGCATTAGTCGATCCATAGTTTACCATGATGAGGTGTATCAAGTGAAACATGTATATGGAGCAAGTAACAACATCACTACATTATAAGATGTTACATAACATAAGAACATAAGAAAGTGGGATACTGCAGGAGGCCGACTGGCCCATACAGGGCCAGGGACTTCTAAACCTAACTCGCCATACCCGTAACTTGGCGATTTCTTCTATGTCTTTCTGTAAATACAACTTCAAGGGATCAATTATTTCTCATGACTATAGCCAGGTACTTAAAGAAGACAACTTAATCAGCACTCGGACTTTCCACCTGGATCTTCCTCGCACTAACTTTTCCTTCTTCATAGCCTCAGTCTTGTCTCTCCCATATTAAGATGAGTAACTACTGTAGGTAGCCCTTTACATATAACGCCGAAGATAACGTGTACTATGACTGGTAAAGAAGAAATTTATGAAGATGGATGACTCACCATCTCATTAGCTCCTTTGCTCTTAAACCAAAGTTGTTAAAGTTGAAAATCCGTTCACTTATATTAAATGGGTGATGCCATGTTGGTGAGACGTGGCTAATGGATTATGTCTCTACCAACACTTGATCTTCAGTAAACATGTTAGACGAGGGACTATGTCAGTGGCTGAGGATATAACCTTAATATTTTACCAAACATCTAGGAAAAAGAAGACGTTTACTCTTTATTGTAATAGTTTTTATGACAAGATATTTAATTAAACTTACGCATGGCTTGTATTTCCTGGACGGGATATCACTGCATTTCAAGTTTGTATGTTGATTGGATCATTCTTACTCTCTACGATGAATGTCTCTGAAAACAAAACAAAAAAATCTGAAAAATCAAATAATTAACACTGAAGACGGATGAAGTTGTCTTGTGGTAATGGCTGAGAGGAAGGAAGACGTGGCTGTGAAGATTGATACTTCATTAAAAAGTATTGATATAATATTCATGGAAGTGAATAACTAATGATGTTGATATTCTTAAGAAAATACCCTTGGTACCCATGTAATAATGTGCATAGTTTCAGAATCTTAACTACTTCCGTTTTGGACCGACGATTGGAACAGACAGACACTCCCAGACTGAAGAAAAGGATGATGATCAGAGTGAAGAGACGTAAAGAGCTCATTGCTTCCCTTTACATCTGTCATAGCTGCCAGTCACCTTATAATCCTTATTTTTTATTTGGTTTGTCATCATGATCATTTTGTCTAACACATTATCTGTATTTTAATTTGTATTGATTAACTTGACAACCAACTTAATAATCTTTAATTAATATTTCCTTAAAACTTGGTCTCTTTTCCAAGACTATGTTGCAACTTTACGTAATATAGTAAATGCCACGTCATTGTATCTACAGAAAATAGTCTAATCATCATTTCAACGTGTCCTTGTGCCTTATCTATATATAAGCGGTTATCTACATTAAGTGACCGTACTATAAACTAGATAGTTCAGTGAGTGTTGGAAGATGTTGGCGGCGAGACACATCGTGAGTCGTGGTGCAACATCATGCGTGAGGGCGTGGGTGAGGGCTCCCCGGGCCGCCACCACCAGTCTATTGCTTACCGCCCCTCATGTGTAAGTGTCTTTTTATAGGTTACATTTATTTTCCGACAACCTTTCCAAAGTATACATTACTGTATATAATATTAACGAAGCGAGAACGTTCATACAATTTCATGTAATAATGACCTCTTTGTATTGTTCACCTTATTTACCTAATGGCCATCCATCCACTAGGGTGGCCATGCCGAGGGAAGGCCAGGGGCCTGTGTAAGATCCCTCCATTGTTCTTGACAGTTTTGTTAACGGTTTTCTGATGCCCAGTGCTGCTCTTGATTCTACAGCTTGAACTGGTATACCTTTTCATTGGTCCACCACCCTGCGTGAAGAATTATTTTCTCATGTTCGTTCTGCATGAAGACTTGGCGAGCTTGTCGTTGGTGGTTCGTGATATCAAGAAATGGCCCCGGTTCACGTTTTCCATTTTTGTCAGGATTTTGAATATTTCAATGAGATTTGTCCTATTGTGTCTTGTCTGAAGAGTCGTTAATCCTAAGGGCCCCAGTCTACTTGGATAATCAAGATGACATAGTTCCGGAATCATCTTGGTCATTGTTATGCACAGTTCCTCGTGATGTTAGTCTTGCTGCAGGTAGGGTTTCTATGCCAGTACACAGTAAGCTAATGCAGAATATAACGTACGTGAGACGAAACTGTACAGTTGAAGGATAATTTGTCTTATTGTATTTGAAGGTACGCTTGTGCTTTTATCCGGTTACTCAACAAATTTTAATGGATTAAGTTTTCAAAACCAAATGTTTTTTCTCCATTTATTAAGAAAATATACTGTTGCACAAATAAATAGGATATCACCGTATTTGGGCCGTATTCAAAAACAGTCATGTGGTGTACGACGCCATTTACGATGACCTTCTTGCCCTGATCTTGTTTCAGGAATACCACCTTTTCGAAGCTCTGGAAAGACCTCGATGTTTCGATATTTTGAGTATTACAAGCTAATAATTCCCACCAGGAAACTTGCTTCGAGACTCCTCCAAAGCTTCGAAATGCGCAGAGTTCCATGTGTTAAACTCAGCTACCCTGAGGGATTGGAGCGCCTGAACTTGCCTAGCTTATACTACAGACGGGCAAGGGGGGACCTAGTTGAGGTTTATAAGCATCTCAGGGGGCACTACTCAGTTGAGTGTCCTTACTTGGAGCTGGCGGACGCTCGCCCCACAAGGGGTCACAGCTCAAGATTGAAGAAGCCGCAAGTCCAGAAACCGTGAGCAAACTTTTTCGGAGGAGGGTTGTAAACTCTGGAACAATCTACCAGAGAGTGTTGTGACGGCACCGAGTGTGGTTTTTTCAAAGAAGACTTGACCAACACTGGAGCGGGTTCAGGTACATTCAGGAGCCGGTGCATGCCCAGTATTTGCCAACAGTGCGTGAAAGAGACGTGACCGATAGCCTGGGCGGCTAGCGAGCCGACCTTTTGGTGAAGAATATAAAGGAAAAGAGACGTGACCGATCGCCCAAGCGGCTAACAAGCCGATCAGTGGCGAAGAGGATAAAAGTAAAGGCGATATTGCTGAAAAAAAATCAGGGCAAGAATGTCATCGTAAATGGCGTCGTACACCCCATAACTGTTCGAGCTGTGAGCTTGAATAATGGATGAAGCTTTGGGTATAGCTAGCTTCGTAAAGCACATGACTGCACACGTCTGAGTGGCTTGGAGACAGGAGTAGATCTGGCGGGAGAACTGTTGACTGTGTCGTCCAGGAGGCGACAATGCATTGGAAACATCCTATCACATGATCAATGCATGACTGCTCACTGCTCATAGGAAAATTACCGTGGGTGATGTAATTATATAAACCTAAAGTATATAAACCCCATTTATATAAGTAATACCGACTGTTAGACAAGGGCTAATACCCGCTTTATAATTCCCAGATCTTGGTTTGAATTTCTCTCAGCTGCACCCAATTGTTGCGTTGCCTTCACAACGCCAAGATCTTTCTTCTTACCGACAGTATCCAGGAAAGTTTTCTTAACAGAACAGTTGTGAGTAAAGCTGTGGCATCCTAGTGGTAGAGGTGGTGAGGTACAAAGCTGGACTCTAGGGGGGTGCAGGCCCTGGTGGAGGGATTACAGGGGGATGGGGGCACCGTGATTGATTGAAACAGTTTATTTAGCCAGAAAAACACAGATACAGAGTAGATAATAATAACAATATTAACATGGCTGAGCCAGTTGAGAACCAAAGCTCTCTTGTAGGCACCTGGTATATACTGGAGGCAGCCATCTGTGGTGTATGTGTTGTTACCAGCAGAAATACAGGACTTGTGGCCATATAAAATGTTTATATACACAGACATACCTTATTTTTAGGTTAAAATAAATTACTGCTCAAGTATCATCGTGTGTATTTACTTGGTGGCTGCCAGAATGATGCAAAAGACCGATAACTCCAGCACGGAAGTTTTCATCACTGTTCTCTATTTCATGTCTGGTGTTACGAGTTGGGGATTTAGAATATAGTTACGCGTCTACCCAGATCCCAACAGGTAACAACAATAAAAAAAACAAAGACAATCGGACTATAAAAGGGTAGACAAAGGATGCGAGTTTTCGTTGTATATAATAGAGTACCATAAATTTTAACAAAATATTCAGCTTATAAATTACCCTTAACCAAACTTAACCTAAACATTAACAGTATATACATATTAATACAACATAAACAATCTTGAAGCAAGTGGACGTGGGGGGTTAATACAAAATACAAGTACTGTACTTAAGGAGGAGCTGAGATGGCTGACGAGTAAGGCTGAGTATTGTAGAAGACGGTAGGTAGTCACTGCACGTAGGTTTAGAGGATAGATGATCCTGTGGTCACTTCCAGAGCGCCCTCTCCTCGAATTGGAGCTGACAAAGAAGACTTTGAGGAGGTGACGCAACAACCAGGATATGGAGAAGGGAAACCCCGGAGTGTTAACTAAGACGAGTCATACTCGTGTCTCGTCCCTAGATGGCGTTGCTCGTGGTGCTGGGTAGGTAGATCAGGACAATAGATGGCGTGGTTCGTAGTGCTGGAAATGTAAGTTTTCGTCACAGATATCTATATTTAATGTTGTGGAAGGACTAGGGCCAACCATGGCCAGGGAATGATCAGATGACAGATGTATTTTAACGTGCTTCATAGCTGGATGGCTAAGTTCTTGATAATACTCTACAATCATAAAGACATCTACTCTTGGCAAATTTCTTTCATCTGCCATGATGAACCCAAGAAGTAGTTGTCCAACTTTCTCGGCTGATCGGCCTTGTAAATAAATATTATTAGATAATTAATTGTGCTTTACTGTGCAACACAGTAATGCTATATTGAATATATAAATCTTACTAACCACATTAACTAATTCAATGGATATTTGCTGCCCCTACTACATATTTCATAGTATAAAAATTCCAAACAATATTGGTATTATTTTGGTTTTGGTCATCTGGGGAACCTTAAGATTCTAAGTGTGGGATTAAGTACTGTAAATAATTATCAGACACGTTACCTCTACGGGATTTCTCTTGCAAAACATTTTTCTATCGCATAAGAATATACAGATCATATGTTGGGTTAGGTTAGATTAGGTTAGGTATGATGAGTTATATTAAAAGTTATAAGGTGAGCTTAAGGTACACAGTTAAAGGGGGGGTTAGTCACTCAAAACTAGTGATTTCCGAGAGAAATGAAGGTCAAAATCGTTCATAACACATCACAAGCCATCAGAAAAAAACAGTCTGCCTGTCTAAGTACCGTACAGGGATGACCAAAACTTACAATTTACCCACTATAGCCTATATCGAATCCAAGCACCCAAATACGTTTGGTAGCTAAAGTAAAATTTTACCCATTAATTCGTATAAATGATGCATTCTCAAAACAATGTCCAGACAATGTCATTCCTTCTAAATTAACTCGTATCTCCATCTAGTACTGATATACTCTGTAAATGCACTGGGGGAAAAGAGAAAGTCTACCAGGTAAGAACACATGACAGCTGAGCTGGTGTGAACAGGAGTTTTTATGTCCATAAGCTGCTCTTCACGGCACATTTCTTTATTTACGAAATGTCCATGACTTAGACCACAAAAAAAACCACCCGTAAAACTTACTTGAACGTGGCATTTGGGGCCTGAAGAGGCCATCCTTCGTCCTACCTCCGATTGCAGCGGTGAGTTTGTTAGAGAACGTCATCTGCGGGGAAACTGGTGACGTCATTGCATATGGCGACCCTGTTTCTAGAGAAACAAATTTTCTCAACTATTATAGCAGGACTTTTAACTTATATTACAAATTATATATATCGTATCACTTCACGGACGTGGCAGAGTGTATTTCTTGTGTTTATTCAGAACCGACAATTCGTCCACTATGTAGTAATTTGTTTATTTGAAAGTGATAGTAGACATTATTGACAAGAATGCCCACTACTGACTGTGGATACAGGACACTATGTTAAGTTTTTGATACACAAGGAGGCGACATCGCTAGTACTGTACACGACTGCCTTCACTTCCCCAACAAGTAAAGTTAGGAATCCATTTATACGAACTGGGAGCGCCTGGATTGAACCAACAAGCCTTAGGATATATATACTGTACAGTATATATATATATATATATATATATATATATATATATATATATATATATATATATATATATATATATATATATATAATATATATACTGTTTACCGTTTTAATTTTCACTCCCTCTACCAACTTAATGTAAGACTGACCCACGAGACCAGAGGTGGGGAGGTTAGTGGGGAGAGTAAGAGAGAGATGATGGGTTAGTTACGCTGAGTAGAGGGAGGAGGGGGGATAACTGAAAAGGGAGGATAGGTTTTGGACATGTTAGACTAGCGTTTCCTGTTAAAAGACTCGCCACACGTCAGAAAGATATGATTATTTATGTATTCCAAGTGATCTTAAAGGTCGAAAATTACAACTCTGCCTATAATCATCTGAACACAAGTAAAGACAAATGTAAAACTGTTAAGTTCAGCT